AGTTTTGGTCCAATATTTACAAAATAATGATTAAAGCTGTTGACCTTATCAGCAGTGTTTTCCACAATATTGCCATTGTCGATAAAGTACTGAGGATAACTTTGTTGTCCAGAATTATTTTTAATGATACAGTTTAAAACATCCCATAATCCCTTCATATTATGTTTATTGTTGTTCAATACTTTACTATAATACTCCTTTCTACATACACGTATAATATTGGTCAACTTATTTTTGTATTTTTTATATTTATTTTCAGCATCTTTTGTTCGTTGTTTTAGGAATTTCCTGTAGAGTGTATTTTTCTTTTTACATGCATTTTGTAAACCCTTAGTGATCCGTGGTCTATCTGAATATTTGTGCTTTCTGTTGTATTTTATTGTTGGACAGTTTTTATCGTATAATTCCATGAATATTCTTAAAAATATGCCATATGCAATATCAATATCAGAAGTTGTCTGTAACGTGAAATGCTGAGCTTCTATTTTACATTATATACACAGTTTTCTCAGCACAAAATCAAGTAACTGAACCTAACATATATAATTGAAACCATAAAAAGAGATTTTATACAATTCTGAACCAAATTAAAATAATAGACGGTATCCCGGCATTTAAAATTAAATGATTAAATATTAAATTAACTTTCAGATTGCAAAATAATTTTTAAAAACTTTGATTTTGGTTTCTCAATCACCCTCTCACTGATGTTAAAGTGCTATGTTTGAGATTACACTGCTGTTCCATATTAAAATCCAATGTGTTAAAATGACAATAAAAACCAATTAAGTTAACTAACTCAGGGCCCTAACAATGTAACTGTTGGTATATTGTGCAATTACTTATAAGTTAGAGGATTACATACGTCAGAGTGGATCCAGTAGATGTCTGTAGTGTCAGCTTAGCAAAAGTTAGCAACCAGACTGATAAAACATAACTATAGAGTATTTTGTTAGTGAGAACATCTATGAATCATTGTGGAAAGAATGCTTACTGATTAAATAATATTTAGTCAATACTAGAGGAAGGTTCAGGAGACCATACAGACATTCTGAATTGAATTTAAAAATTGTGTACCGTTTGATCTTTGATATTGTAGTGCCTGAAGGGAACAGGAGAGAATACACAACAAAAAATATGAGCAACAAAACTAATTAGAAGGAACACCAGTTCTATAACAACACTATACTGTATACTTACATCACACTTGAACAATAAAATAAACCTTTAATAACAAACAGCCTGTTTAAAAATGCTGAAAAGCTGACTTCTGAAGTGTTTCTGTAAAAGGAGGACAGCCTTTAGACTGCACACAGAAAGACTGAAGAATTTGACCC